ATACGAAAATAACTTGCGGCAATATTATGACTCAGTTTCTTGTTCAAATTAGTCACAAGGACGAGCCAATATTAAAATCCGTGGATACAAATATGCTTAAGAAAATAAAGCACTGGCCATTAATCAAAACCGTGTAAGCGTTTCAGTGACAGAATGAAGAATATGCCAGGGTATATGTGATATATGCGTTCGGCTCACGTGTCGTATACGCAACGTTCTATTGATTTCCGTGTTTTGGGGGAATTGCAGGAGGCCTGCCCCAAAACGACTTGACCCTGAACAATTCGAACGAATGGCACATGCATGAATGTACATTTGTGGGTAATGATGTCATATATGTTATATAGACTATTAAATATATTGCCCCTATTTAAGCAACGTTTCCCAAATTTGGTGAGATTTTAGTGCAGAAGAGCTGCTTCATAGCATCGTTTTTCAAATGTTATTGAAAAGAAATATATATCTAGGTTCAAGTACAGCTCGCACATTTCTGTTATGTCCATTCTACAAATATTTACACAACTTATGCTCATCACAGATGAGCGACTGTAAATAGAGCGGAATATGCAAACAAATAACAGACAACTTTCACGTAACACTCTTATTCAAGACTCAGTGACAGGATGTGGGTGGCAGGTGCTGGAGGGCGCAACGCTCGCTGCACTCTGTAACTCGATGCCGTCGATGGCCTACAAAAGTTGAAGGTTCTGTTCTGTGTGTGCTCGTGTTTGGACATATGCCACACAATGGCAATTAAACACAGACAACCGTTTTCAGGTCACACACCAAAACCGAAGTAAATAATTACTAAATATATATATGTGTGTATACTTACTTATATACAAATTTACATAAGTAAAACTGATAGAGAGTGAAGCGAAATTAATGCCAGTCATTAATTGTGAGCTCGTATAATTAATATTGTTAAATATGGGCAGATCATAAGTCAACTATTAATAGCTGCAGCGAAAAATATGCCTACACACCATACTTGTGTTGCGTGCGATATATATTTGCTTAACCCGCCCGTTTATTAAATCAATAAAGTTATCAACAATTGTTGCTGACAATGTCATTAATTCAAGGTCTGAAAGTTTTGGCAAAGGCTTGGGACAAACAAACAATAGTCGACAAGTATACGCAAATAAATAAATTCATAATAGCCGAAGGCCATGTTGAGGTAGCTGAAGAGTTTCCATAGCTTGTGTGCTTCTTCTCTTTCTTCATTATTTACCAAAGTTTACGCTCGAACTAGTTCAAATGATCGATGCTTTGAAATAAACTACTCAAATAGGTCTTTGGGCTTAGTTAGTGATGGAGAGGAAAGGAAGAATTATTCTACAGTTGGGTGGCCATGCCAGAAGATTTTGGAGAATTGTGTGCCTTTCTGGCTAAAAAGTTTCTTTTGAAGAACCCCTTTGCTGTGGGAAAAAGTTCACTGTTTATATTTTAAATAGGTTAGGTTAGGTTGAAATGGCGGGGGTGATGATGATGCCGACCTATATTTTAAATAACATTTAAACATGTACATATGTATATATGTGTCCCTCGTTATTTACTCTTTATTGTAATTAAATCGTTTTCTAACCTCTAAGGCATACAAAACTGGTCCGTTTAAGCTTAAGCTGCTAAAGGAAAATTAAAAAATTAAAAATTTGTTTGTAAACAAAAGGACCACTTGAGTGAACTGAAGGATTTAAACTTATTATAGAAAAGGAACTATAACTATAAAGAGTGAACCAGATTTTTCAATTTTCTTACGATTATTTAGAGTAGAGATAAATAAATGCATTGCCTTATTGTTTGGTACGTGAAAAGCAGAAATGAACAACATAGCATTACAAATAATTCATATAATTTAAAAAAAAAAAAGAAAATGTGGAATGTATCTTAACTTAAATTATGTATCTTAATATAGATAGTAACCATTTGGGCAGTTTGTTTGGAAGAACAAGTCAATATAGACATTAATAAAGCGCCGCCATTGCGATGAAAGATTTGTTTAAATTAATATCAATTTGCTTTTATAAGCCAAAATTATAAAAACAAAACGATTATTTTATACCAAAAATCAGCCACCATTGTATACTTTATTTACTGAACTGTCTATGAATTAATCCACACAAATAATTAGCACACACATTTGTCTAATTATTCAATTATCCAGAAAGAATAAAACTAAACTAGTTTTTCTGTTAGTGAAATACTCTTTTGCTGTTTTGCGAATAAGCTCTATGTATTTTTGTAAGATTTGTGTGAAAATTGTTTGCCCGCCTGACCATTGTTTAATATTCCTAATGCGAATAGCAAGAAGCACTTGTCAACAACAATAAAATTCTAAATTAATATTATAATCAGATTTATGCGTATTGACGCTATCTAGCCATCTATGCTTCTTTTGATTCTCTAAAATAGAAATCTTTGTCGCGACAAAGCGCAAGACAAGGACAAATTGCAAAAATTTGACAACGAAATTTCTACAAATTACAATGCAGTCAGCAGGGGGTGTTGAACCGCCCACTGAGACATTCGAACAAAGAGGCGCCTCTCCTCGCACAATGCAGCGTCGCCAAAATCGCCGAAACTTCCTCAAATGCCAACCGGCGCCGGCGCCAAAAATCAATAGTTGTGGTAGTTGTAGTAACCGGAACAAATGCACCCGCCAAGCGACAGATAGCCAGCCGAAAAGGTCAATGATATTATAACTACAAGTGGAAGGGAGCGGCGGGGAAGGGAGGGCGGGCGATGACAATGGTACTTGAGCTGTGGCAGCCCAGCTTCAGCTTGAGTTGGATATTGTCAGCCACCGAGTGCTTTTTAATTATCAAAACAATAAACCGAAATTAATTAGCTACCTGAGATGTTCGCCAGCCGCAGTCTTGGAATTTAATTTGCACAAAGTTCGTTCCTTCTTCAGAATTGTGAGTGTTCGAATAAAGTACGTCTGAAGTCGCGTTTCCCAGGACAACCGCGCGTGGGTTCCTCAATTGATGCAAACAATGCAGGCAATGCTAATGCCGTCGGTGGCACTCAGAGAAGTTTACGAGGCTTTTGGATGAAACGCACATTGGCAGCCTCTGGCCAAGCCATTGTACGCTGCTGTGAAGCCTACGCCTTTTTCCTGTTTTGTGTTGTTTACACGCGAAGCTTGTACTTCTAACTGAAGCGTCACATTTTCATTGAGGTAAGTAGCAAGAGCACACAGGGAAATACACTCGACGAAATGCCCGGCGAACCGCACTGTGGAAAATGAAACAAGCGAATGAAAATCATTATTATTTTTATGGCCACAAACAGCGGCGGAAATAACGACGACAACGACATCGACGACGACGACGCGGACGATGCCGATGGCGGCAAAATCAGCTGCAAGAAAATGATTTTTCCAACACAACAGAGAGAGAGAGGGAGAGAGAGAGAGGGAGAGAGAGAATTTTCATTCATGACGTCATGAGTTTTGTGACATGCGCTTCAGAGTTCGTCAACGTGCCAACAAGCATCGTTCATTTCATTCGCACCCTCTGCGGGCACGCGACTTACTCGTGGCTGAATATATTATACTTGTACTATACAAGTATATTGGTAGAACAACAAGCTCTCTGAAACGTGCTCCGCACATCTGAGCGCATAAGGTGCATGCTTGTTGCGCTGCCACCGCGCACCATGCCCCATCAACCGGTGGTCCTTCCGTCCTGCTCCTACTCCTGGTCTCTACCCCAAAAAAGGGTGCAAATTGTGGAGGTTGCTGCTATCCGGTGCGCTACTTCTGAGGGCTTACTGCTTACTCTCCTACTCGCCTGTTTCTTGTACATTTTAATGAGATTATTTCGTTAGAACATGAATAAACTACGAGCATGACTTTATTCTACAAATTCCATGTATATATCTACATGTAAGGGAAATCTATATTCACGAAAGCCCAACAACATCGTTAGCTGCAAATCAAACACATGTAACAAGGATAAATATATTAATAGAGTTTTGGTATTATTTACTAAATAACTGAATAAAAACAATTATTTTTTATAAACATTAGCAATTTAAAGTTGATGTCTGTAATTTTTAAAAAGCCACAAGAACTTGATTATTAAATAATTATTGCTTAAAAAATAAATACTTGTGGTGGATCCACAAAATTCCAAATTTTACTATAACTAAAAAAATTTTAAAAATTAAGTAGAACCCAATCCCAAATGGTAAAAATTAACTTAAAGTGTGCTAATCTTAATCAATTTTTATATTATTTTTATATTATTTTTCAACTGCTGGAAAAAATAATATTTTGTAGACAAATAAAGTAATTTCCTATTATTTTTTTAACTCCATCATTTTTTTACATCCAGGAATAATATCCTCTATTTTTTTTAACAAAAAAATAAGCACATCTTTGAATCTATACATATTCGAAATAGAAATAAAATATTAAGTTTTTCAATTATAAAAGAATAGAACGTTAAAGTATTGGCAGAATGAATACAGCCTTTTAACTAAAAACAATAATTACAGTTACACAACTATTTTTTATAGTTACGAGGGCAGTCCGATATGTTTCTGGCCGGTCCATTGGGCCAAGTAATTTCTTTTTCAATTTCGTTTTACAATAATGTTATATTTCTAAGTCAAGCTAGAATAATAAACAATATAAGTAATTTCTGTATTTCTATAAAAATCGAAATTCATTTATTTTCAAATATTTCAACACGCTGTATATCTTTCAATATTCAACACCAATATACAATACATTCAAAGCAATAACAATACGTTTTGAAACTACTTAGGGTATTAAAGTTTTAAAGTAAATTGAATTCACATTTATGCACAGTGTTTGTGAGATAGTTTTTCTGAGACGATGAAGGAGATTTCAAGATAATGACAATGAGATTGATTTTGTCAAGAGATTTTGACAAACGCTTACCATTTTCCAAATGGTAATGCAACTCACTTTCAAAATACTTCTAAAAAGGTGCTTTTTAGTCGAAATAAAATGTTCTACTTAAAAGTATGACAATAAAATAAGCGCAATGTCGCAATTAAGTATTACACATTGGCACTCACTGGACTTTAATGGTTGTGATATTAACAGCGAGGACCTGCACTGGCACTGGTACAGGATTAATGTCAATAATTTGATTATTTTGTGTTGCATGAGTAAAGCTTAAAACCATTTGTAAAATATATAATTTCCATACAAACTAATTAAGTTTCGAAAGGAACTAGAGCATAACACAATGAAGCATTTCAAATAAAACCTAAAACTAAGAGTCAAGTCAAGTTTTGTAGCACATTTTGCTTTTCTGAGTTTCCAAAATCACGTTCAACAATCTGCTCCCGCAATGCCAGTTATCTTATTGTCGCCATGAATTATTGTGTCCATTTCAATTTGCGACAGATTGGCATTCAGTAGCTTTTCGATTTTAATAAATTGTGCATTGGGTTCTTGCACGGCAGCCATATCCAGATCATCTGTGCTACGATTCTGTAGCATTGAATTGCTACGCTTGGCGCGCTCTGTGAACAAAAAGCATAATTAATTAATTGATATTCAATATATTTGGTAATAACTAATTACCGAAACGTGCGCGCTGCGATTCCTGCTCGATGATTATCTCATTGGTTATATAGATTTCGCGTCTGATCTGATCTCGCAGTTCTACGCTCATGTCTGGGATGCACCAACGCACCAATATCATCACTAAGGCCACAAAGTTCTACAACAGAGAGGGAAGATATATAAATTAATGATTCATTTCATATTATATGCTCTCGATGTCGCCTACCAAGGCCCTTGTCTACACTGAACTAACACTTATTTCTCTGCAACATTTCGTCAGCATTTCTCAGTTACCAACATTTGCTCGAATTGGGGTCACTCGGAAGCCACAGCAATGGCCAAGTAAGTTGATGCGCCAAATTGGAGCGACTAGTCTACATTAAAAGGCTTAGAAAAGTGTTAGCCTCAACCCCAATGTTGCGCGTATTTAGGACACATGTCATGTGGGGGCTGGGGGCTGGGGGCCAGCTCTTGCCTTTGTCCGAGGTGTGAATTAACAAAATGTTAGCAAATGTATATGTACTTGTATAGTAAGTATATAGTCAAATAAATTTTTGCGGTCAAACAAATATTAAAATGGAAAAAATCCATTTTTTTTCGAGTTATTTGTTGAAATTCCTAAATTATTGCTCACACTGATGTCGATTCTTAATATGTCGCTTTATTTGTTAAATCAGTCGATCATGACTAATTTGAACCCTTGGTTTTTTAAACTTTGAATCGCCATATTTTTTAAACTATATAAGATAGTCAGTTGAAACGAGACAGATATAAATTGACAGAAGTTCTATTGTCTTTTAAAATATGGAGTAAAAACAAAATACTGTCTAATTCCATGTTACAGCTTATATAATTCACTGCGTTAACTAAATTTTAATTTAACAAAAAAGAGAATATTTAATAACTTTAGTATTTGTTGTGATAATCTTTTTGGTTTACCACAGCTTCGATTTTAGATCATGCCCCATGAGAGCTTTGTTCACTTCACTTCGAACTGGTTGACTTCAAAAATATAAAATAATTCTATTAACCTATGATATTTTAAAACCCCGATAGGAACTCACAATAAATAAGAAAACAAATTTCTCAAGCATTTTTCACTTTTATAATACAAATAATTAAGTGGCGATGTTTAACAAAATATTTGATATTTTTACCAGAAACATTATTTATTTATTTAAAATTTGTTTAAATCTAAAATGATTTAATAATATAAAAATAAAATGAGTGAATCAAAAGCCATTTGAATCTAAATAGTTATGAAGTATTCTTATAGAATTTACTTAACGAGAACACAACAATTAATCTTCTATGGTAGCTCATTAAAACCAGATTATGTTTAAGGCACAAACCAGATACAAACACAACAATATCAATACGAAGATCGATTCGCAACATAATCAGAACAAATTCCGTACTCGCAAATGCCATGAGCTGAGAACAAAGCGAAAATGGCAACAACTAATGAGGAAAGCGGCCCTAATGGTTGGCCTATTGCTGCGTCTAGTTAGTTAGTAGTGGCCAATACTTCGAAACGAACGCACGCGTTCTAAATAATTTAAGCAAATTAAATAAAAAAAAATAAAATAAGAATCAAAAGGATAACAGTGCTGTCCAAAGGATAATATGAGATAATAGAATGATTTCAAAGAACCATAAATTTAAAGAAAATATTTAAAAACAATTTCATTGAAGCTCCTAATTAAACATTCGAATTCTTAATAACGAATATTATTTTAAACCAATCACAATGAAACGGCTGGCCTGCTTAAACTTGCGCGCCTTTGGCCTGAGCATAGCCTGTGTGGACATATTGATAGCAGCTGGCACTCTCGCTCTGTGCAGCTATCATTTGTACAATGATTTTACGGATCTCTCCCAATGGCAAAAGGACGACGTGCAGATTCTCAGTCCTTTCGGCGCAGATGTGGCCACATTGGGTGAGTGAATTGAATCTGTGCTCACATGTGGATGGGAGGCTTAGAGGACCTACTTGTATTTTTAGTGGACTATGTGTTGGTGCATGAGTTCTCACAAGCCTTCTATATGATACTAACGGTTACTGTTTGGATCAAGGCTTTGATTAATCTGGTGGTGGCCTGCATATTAGTGCAAGGCATCAAAAAGGTAACTCAAACTATTGTAAAAGTTCGACAAGGATCTGTTAATATACCTTTTGCAGCGACGTCTAATTTGTATTGCCCCATGGTTAATCAATACTGGCGTATCGATGGTCATTGAGATTGCCATATTCGTGTGTCTGGAGATGAAAATAGACGAAGTTGATGCCTCGTTGGACAAACGCATAGCACGCAGCGTGCTCTTTGGCGTCTTTACGGGTAAGTGACATACTTTTTTAAATTATAAAATCCCCAATTAATGCCCTATTCCCCCACTAGTGTTAAATGCGCTCTTCATCTATGCCATTTATGCATTGCATCGCATGCTGAAAGCATCAACAAATGAGAACCGAGCGCTGCAGGAGAGCATTGTGGAGACCTCGGGTATGTTTCAGCATGTCAAGGTTTAAGTGTTTGTGGTTCAAACTTTTAATTGGCGCTTTGTTTGAACGAACAGAGAGCAAACTTATTTAAGCGGATTACATGTTAAACGGAATTCAATACAATGCAGTGTCAAATCGAGCATTTATGTTAAAAAATAAAGTACACAATAAAGCAAAAATAGAACTCACCTCGAATACCACAACAAAGGCCAAACGACAGGCCAGTATGATGTAAAACATGCTACTTAAATGATACTTTTCAGGCGATGAAGGCGGCAGGCGATAGTCCGAGTATCTGCAGGAAAACAAAAATAAACTCTGCCTTAAAAAACGCTCAATAAGAGGTAATAGATATATGTTCTTACTTGCACATGGTTCTGTTCGATACATCACCAGTTAGACTGCGCAACGTGGGCGAATCGGAGATTTGAAATTCGGACAAGGTGAAGTCCAAGTAACCGTTTAGGCTATGATCCTTGGACACTATGCTGCGATAAACCAAACGTGGTATCATGTCCGAAGTGAAGGCAATAATGAAGCCCTGTAAAATAAGTAATTACTCAGAGAGCTCGCCCTTCTGCTCCTCTGTCCTTCTAAACTCACATTTGTTATTACACTCAGCTTGCCAATGCAATCCAGGATACGATACCAGACACCAATATCCCGCACACGTTGCGAAACCGGTCGCTTGTGATGTGTCAGCAGTTTCTTGGCATCCAAACGCATTTCGAGTATATTGTTGAGAAGCGCAAAGAAGGGTGCCAATGGGAAGGCAGCCACAAATATGGTGACAAAACCGTACTGGAGCACCATTTCCAAATACTCGGGAAACAGACTGCGCGCACCCCAATCCAAGAGTCGAAAATCGCGCATCCAACGCTCATCCTTGGCCTTGTGTGGATTGGGTTCATTGTTGAAGAGGCGCGACAGGCCAACCTGTATGGCCAACACTTTGCGCCAAAACATAGGCATAAGCACCTCCAAGATGGTGTTAAAGGCTTGCTTGCCAATCATTATAATCGCCAGCTGTATGCAAAGCTCCGTCAGGCAACCACCCGAGGAGCACTGAAAGAAAAGGAAGGCAAATTAGAGTTCTCTGTTTTGTTTTCATAAACTTCAAACAGCGACTTACCTCCTCCTGTCGATAGTCGAAGACTTTGTTATACTCACCCGGATGACCCACAAACTTGCCCTTGAAGAAGGCTATATAAAATATGGAAGCGTAGTAGTTGACAAATTGCAGCAAATAGATTTTAAGGGTCAGCGAATCATCAAACTGGGTTTGTGTGCGCCACATTTCCAGCTCGGTGAGATACTCGGCCAGGTGGCTGTATAGCTGTGGAGTAGAGTATATAAGGGATATTATTTACCTCTCCTTAAAATGTCCTCACACGCTATAGTTACTCACATAATTTAGCACATAAAGCAAACATAAGTTGACAAATGCAGCGGATGCGGTTGCGACAACAATAGCGCCCGATGTCGTCATGGGAGCGGAGCCCAATTTCAGGGCCGCCATCATGGACATCCGATAGACGACGACAGCGAGCAGCGCCACAAATGCGAGCGCCACTAGCAGTAGTACGACGGAAAAGGAAAAAACTGTAGCCGGCAGTTTCATTCTCCAAAACGGCACAATGGGTTCCTTCATATTTGTCACATAGTCGGTGCGAGTCGGTGGTATATGTTCCAGGCGCGCCAAATACTGCGGTCGCGGATGCTCCTCGTGCACATCGAACCCCGTCAGATCCCAACGATGCGTGATTTCTGCGGAGTAACGTTTCCACAGCTCCAGAAATAATGTGGCCCAAAAGGACATAAAGACGGCAAAGAAAATTGTGCTCGGGTTGTCAATGAGGTATGTGATTTTGGCATAATTGCAGGTCTCTTTCAGGTCCCAAAAGTCGCACCATTCACAGAGAGGGCACATCGTGATATTGCCATTCGGACGATCGCAAATATCTTTTCTATGGGATCAAAGATAATTGTTTAGCGGAGCGAATCAATTAAAATACAAAACATACTTACACAGGCACATAGTTTTTGAGCGAGAGCCAGGAGTATAAAAAACAAACTATGCCCACTATAGAGGCCAGCAACAACATGTAGGTATAATATCCCAACCAGGCAAAATAGAGACCTGCAAACCAATAAAACAAATACAGATTTAGTCACCAAACTATTACTATTAAAATTATCTTCAATCTACCAATTTTGACGCCAAAGTATTCTTTGACATCATCCAAGGGCTGATAGCGATACCATTTCTTTACCGAGGCCCAATGCTTATAGAGCAGCGCACGCATCGTACCAGACTCCGTAATTTCGCCCTGAAATCATAGAAGAATGAATAAAGCTAATAGTGCAACAATTCCGACCACTCTTTAAAGTATAATAAGATTTTGTAAACAATTTATAAATACACTGAAATACAAACAAATTAATGGTAATGAATGATTTTCGCACAGATTGTTTCTATGAAATAATGCGATTTGCAATAAACTTTATTTGAGTATGAAAATAATAAGTCTGCTTGCCAAGTTTGGTGCTCGTAGGTATTATAATTCAAGAGATGTTGTGGTTCATACAGACAGACAAACGATAGTCGGAATGACAGGAGAAAAGAAATTGTTAATTCTATGATTTTCCTTTAACCTGACTTACATCATGCAGGGGATACGCCGAACAATAAACGCCTTCGGCCACCAGCCGCTCAATGCCGAAAGCCATTTCATTGTTGTGTTTGGCAGGAAAACGCTGACGATCCAAAATAAACTCCACAATGCGCGAACGTACTGCTGTGGTGAAAAAACAGTCCTGACGTATGTCAAACCTATTCCAAAAATGGCCACACATTAGTTTCAAATTTTTAACAGTGCATCGTGATACTTACAAATATTCCTTATCACGACTATAGATGGCTGTAAAACGATGTGCACGTTTAGGGAAATGTTCATCGTCCACGTAAATGTTATGTAAAAAAAAATTAAAAACGCTTTTGACACTAGAGAGGACGCTTTTTGTTGAGCGATTTACCACAGACATGCCGGGTATCTAGAAATGATATATAGAGGATGAAGTAGTAAATGCATTAGGGAAAGCAATAATAAACAGAAATAAACACAAAGATTATTTTAGAATTATTTACAGTTGCTGATAATTGCATTTAGAGGTAAGTTGGCGTATAGCTGAGCATTAACGAAATTACGGGTTACAATAACATATGTATAAAGAATTATTTTGGGCGAACCTTCTTGGATAGATAATGAGCCGCATTGTGCAGACGATTTGATTTTTCATTAATGCGCATAATACACAAGGACTAAAAACAGATAAGATATTACAAAAATATAAATGTATTATCACTTTTATCATTCACCCAACATTCAAGAAACTTTTCAGAGGCAGCCTAAAAGTATGCCACATTTTAAATGGATGTGCAGATATGCCTTAGACTGGATTTATTCATAGTTTTGGGAAAATAAAAAATAGGAGAAATTTGAGTTGTCATCCAAAAATTAAAAGAAGTATTTGTAAATCTTCGATTAATCCTATAAATTCTTTTTGAGAACTGTTTCTCAAACTATCCAGTCTATGCACCCCAAGCGGGTCAGCAACTCTCCCAAAACTCACCTCCTTCATGGGCATTCGTAGCTTAAGTATCTCGGCATATCTACGCAGCACCTCCAATGGCGCATGTATCTGAAATTAAAATTTAATTATAATCATCATTCTCAACAACAATCATTCATCTTCTTCTTCTTTACCTTTACAAAGTGTAACTGCTCCTTCAGCTTGTGCACCTCCTCCAATTCCAGTCCCTGATTTCTGAGATTCGTTTCGAAAACTCGACGTTTTTCCTTATTCTCCGCCTCCGTCTCATCATGAGCGTTGGTTTTATATCCCAGCACGAAGTCAATGGATCGTTTGCAGTCATCGAAAAATAATGAGGTGTTCAGTTCTTCTCTTTCGTAGAATTCACGCGGACAGCTGCATTCGCGTTCATCGTAACTGTTGATGGTGGTACCCAGATGTGGCTCAGTCATTGGCAGCAAGGGTGTGGCTGTAGTGTGCCGATTGCTATTTTGGTTGGGTGTCCTATGCTTGCCGTTTGGCAATTGCCCGGCTACAAATGGCAGTTGTAAGTCGTCGTGTTTGCTGCAGAGTAATGAGATGTGCGTTAGTTGCTTTTCATATTATATAGGCCGACATAAAATTAGACAAATTGGCGAGCGGAGCGTTTACACTAGAATGCTTTCAATGTTGATAGCATACGCAGCTTGAGAATAATACAATATTTTGCTGTTGATATCATTAACAGACCCAAGACTACCCCAGCATGGAAAATGTGTGCCTAGTAATGAGTTCGTGAAATAATTAGAAACTCACGCAGCCGAATTAAAGCTTTGCTTTTGACTCAGTAAACTTTTTTATCACTGATGAATAAATTGTAATTTTGGGACTTGTTAGTGATGAGTGCGTGATCAATTATCGTTAAATATTAAAGGCACTCCGTAAACAAATACAATCTTATATTTAAAATATCGATATGCTCTTTAACAACCGTAACGACACACGCAAGGCTCACGAGTATGCATTGTGCTGCTTATTCTAAAGTAAGGCTATAATAGTATCAAACGAAACTTGACATTTATAAGAAAAAGGTCTACAAGTACATGAAAAAAGATTTTTAATTTTTACATTGACAAGATTCAAGTATTACAGAAAATGTTTTAGAAACACAACGGCTAAGACCAACTGCAAATAATCTTAAAAATGATAGAACTATTCGTTTATTACTAATACGTTTATAAGTAGTTTAGCTGGTACGATAATCCAAAAGCGGACATATTCGCTGAGCAGGAGGGGTCCAATAAGGCAGTTAAGCATTACATATATGTATTATGTTATAACAATTAAAGAGTAATTGCTAAATATTAAACACTTTAAATAATACAACATTTTATAAGAAACATGGTTTGAATGTAAATTAAATTATTTTGTTCAACAAATTTGTTAACACGGTTTTTTTTATACGACGACATACAGCATTCCTTTTCAAAACTTTACAAAATTTCCTCTTTTCGTTAAGATACAACTTTACATCGAGTTAAGCATTAAACTTGTAACTTCTCCTTATCCAATAGATTATAAAGAGTTCCCATACATGATGTGTTTTCACTTTCACGTCGCTTTCCCATCTCTAACTGTGGCTCCCTATTGACTTGACGGTCCCATTTCGCACCTAACGAGCTTCGGGCGATGAATGACCGTCTACCACTGAGCGTGCTGAGCGCCCGTAATAATCAACCGTCCCAAACAATGAAGGAGAGCGCCATAATAGGAGCAACCACTTCCCCACACAGAAAGACGTCCATATGGGTCAATAATAAAGTAGCATGTTTATAATTTTAACGAGACGCATAAAAATCGCTGGGCTTGACCCATTTACAGTTTACATAGAAGGTTTTGGAAGTTCATAAGTAGGCGCCAAATTAAATTACATACTTGTATATGTACAAAAGATAAGGCAGTCGGGGAAAACAAACATACCAGCATACACACAGCTGTTTATCTATAAAAAGCCCTGTTTTCATAGCTAAAATAGATAGATGTGAAAATGGATCACTAAAACCAAACAACCTGTTGCTGACATGCACCGAACTCTGAAAGCACTTCGCACAGCTGTTCTATGAAGAGTCGGGGAATCATGTGGAAAAATAAACTAGATGTGCTAATTCGCGAATAATAAGTCGAACTGTAGGAACACTACATCTAACATTCACCTGTAAAACAATTTTTTTTTTATATTGGCAACGCAAATAGCCATGTGATTCAGTTTCTCCAGCTCTCCCAGTTAAGCACAATCTCTAATGAATCATTATGAAAAATATTTACCCCGACATCATTAAAAGCTGAGTAACTTGTAGTCAAGATTAGCAGAATAGGCAGTCATGCAAAATGTTTATTATTCAATTGGGAATCAAATGACATCTCATTTCTCTTACGAGATTTAATGTATGCGATAAAAATGGAAAAGTAATGTGAAAAAAATTCTGCATGTTTATTTACACATTTAATAAAATATAAAAATAAAAACTATATTAATTGCATTTTGTATTGACAGCTGTAAAATGCAGATTTCTGGAGCTTATCAGTGGCTGCAGATTAATGAACATTTAATTGAAATATTATTTACATTTTAACACATTTTATTGATAAGAAAAAATGAGCGCTATGTGATTTCCGATTATTTTAATCTGTTTTTAATAGCAAACATACTATATGTAAAGATTTCATTTTTAAAATGTATTATTATTTAAAATTTATTTCATATTTAATATTCTGTTTTCTTATTTTCCTTTAGCTATAAATTACTTTGTTGTCTTTATTAAACAAACTTAAAATTCTATGTTTAATATGCCAAAAAAAATTGAATAATAACATTTCATATATCTATACAATTTAATTTCATCCTAAATTTACCCTCAATTTTAAGAAAAATCGTTATTATACCAAAAAGGTGTTAAATCTATAATATGCGTTTGCAATTTGAATATATATAAAATATCCTTTTAATTTATAACTCAAGATAAATATATCATTTTATTTCGCTGCTATTGAAACGAACACGGATAGCTTTAAAGCAGCAATTTGATTTATTCAGATATTCCAGCCAAAATAAACACTTGTTTTCTCGTTAAAATATCCATGTAATATGTATGAATTTCATAAATACTATCGACCTTAATTGCTCAACATTAGAGCGAAAACTGTACTTTACTTTTAAACAGCAAAGCCGTAGAATAACATAAAATCCAATAGCCGACCGTGCTAACAGCATTAACATTCGCATATTGTTATATTTTGTTTGAACGAAAATAACACTATAAATCAAACTAAGAAAATGTGTATACCTAAAATTTATTCTCACATTTGTGACAAATATTCACAAAACAAAAAAAAAACAATTCTGAGCTATGCATTTGATTTTCAAAGCAGACACAAAATCGGAGTACTTTTGCGGCTTTTCCGTTTCGTTACTTAAGCTCTTTTGTGTAGATTTTAAAGCTTAACACTAATATGTTGTTATTGTTTATAGGCCTATACCGCAGATAACTGACCTTCAACTCGAACAATAATTAACTTTAACTTCTTTAACAAAAATACGCACACATTTACAGCCATACACGCATATTATATTTAAATACTTATTTACATATAATTTGGTTGCCACGTTTTCATTTTTATTTTTTCTTATATGAGTATACGAAACCCACAGCATTTGTTTCAATGCTTAATCAAGGCCGAAAGCCAAACAGACGGCCAAAATAATTTCTATGAAATTTATGTCGAAAATCTGCACTACATTTTACAAATCGCAATGCATATTCGTATTTACATATATAATTGTTTATTAAGTCGAGCGTTCAGTTTGTTTACAAATATTGAAATCACCACCACACACAAAACTGATGAGCATGAGCCGATAAGCCCAATCTATATGTACTGTAGATATATAGTATTAACAGCCTCCGTACTGATCTGTCAAATCAGCAAGTACCATATTTTCATAATTCCTTAAGTATACAGAAAAGGGACGAGCAGCCAATTGTTTTGTCCGGTCTTGACAACCCGGACAAGCATGAATAATACACACCAACAGCAGCAACAAAAACAACAATGAATGAGACACAAATTCAACGGAATTGAAACAATAAACTTCTTCTTTTAAGCATACGCGATTTTCACTTTTGGCAAATTTTTAAAAACCTACCAAGTACATATAACCAGAATATTGAGAAAACCAATAAAATACGTGAAATGTTTGCCCGCTTCCCCACACGAATTATTAAATAAATATACTTATGTATATATACATATATATTACTTAGTCAAGACCGTGCACAGAAAATTAAACAAATTCCACGACGGCAAAAGTGACGGAGCAACAAAAGCAGCCGACGCGAGGCAGCAACGACAACAAACTGAAAAGAAGAGATGGAGGCGGCAGCGATAATGACGCTAACGACGACGCTGACGTTGACGCAGGCCAAGAGCAACAGCTGGGAGCAATGAGTCAAGCGTCTGTCAATGAAAATACACCTTTGGGGTCTCTGCCGGTTTTTGCCGTTTAATTCACTTCACGCCTGCCCATAGTGTCCAAACAGCTGTTTTTGGCGTCTCAGAGAGAGCAGAAGACAATGCGAGAGTTAGAGAGAGGATTAGCTGCACTTGTTGAGCATTGATCTCTTTTGGAGCAAAGTGCAGCCGCACTCCGCGGCGTGCGCACACACCTTTGATTTTTTACATACATACTTGTATGTATGTGTTTATTTTATTCCAAGTACTTTCCTATCTATGTATGCGTTACATTCTCCCGAGGTATAATTTTCCCATCATTTAGTTGGTGTGTTTTGTTTGGCCAATAAATGTAATAATCTTGTCGATTATATGCTTGATAATCAATACATTTTTTTTTTATTGTGCCAACAAATTAAATATTAATTGTGTGCACATAAAGGTCATTAAAGCATGAGCTTTGGAGAAAATATTGATTAATCATTTATTGAACAGCGTATTGGAATTAAATTAATTTCCATAGAAGAAGAAATACTCAATAAATACGAAAGTACAGATTTGCAGACATTTATAGATAGATACAGATAAATATACTTATACCTAAATCAAGGTTGGATGCTTCGGTACTTGATAGGTTATTTAAATATGAAAATTAATATTTATAAAGCAACCAGGGGGGCGTAAATGAGAAGTACGGAAGCAAGTATTTGCCAATAATTCCAGAATCATTGCCGGAATTATATTTAAACTTATTTTATTTTTGTGGTGAGCATGTTTTTTAATTCAGACTTTTATTGTTTTCAACTATCACAGCCCTCTGCTTTTTGATTTGCCTGTTCTTTACATCAGATTCTTCTTTATTGCTGTTAAAACTCCATATCCACAGACATACTCGTGCATACAGACATTCATAAATGAACAAAAAACAAATATACATATGTATAGTACATCATCCATGTGCTTGAATTTTATTTACTACTCATGCTCTATTTGTGCTTCGTTCTCTCACAAATACCCACTAAAGCAACGTGTAATTGAGTTTAATGATCACTTCCTCACACTCACATTCTCGTACATACATACATACACATGTGATACCTTACACACTCTATGGCTCTTGGACGTTGTCTCGTTGTGTCTCACCTTTCGGCGAATCTGGTGCGCTTATCATTCAAGCTCAGTGATTCATTCGATGCCGATTTTGGGGCCTTTCCCCGCTCGCGCTGCATGAAGAGTGTTGTGGGGTCCGCATCCTCTCCGTTGCTCGGACCGCCACCCCAGATGCTTTCACGAGCAGCCAGCTTGGCCCCCAGCCCGAGACGTTGCATTAGCTCCATGTCGTAGGGAGCGAGAGGAGCGCTGAAAGGCGGCTCTATATCTAAGGGTTTCATGGTGGTGGCGGGTTTTCCGTCCTCAGCTTCAACTGCCAGCAGCGTAGAAGACTCCTCTTCTGGCTCTTGCGCTGCATTCTCTGCTACCGTTAACGTCTCCATCGACGTCGCTTCATCATCGTCAATGCTGCTGTCGCTGCCTTTGCCGGTCGCAGTGGCGTTGTCTAAATTTAGCATTTTGTTTTAACCGAAATTCACGCGAATGTTGTTGTACTATTTGTTGTTATTGGACTGGTTTTGCTTTCACATGGCATATGCTTCTATCTGACTGCGTGTGTGTAATATGTGTGAGTGTGTGTGTGAGCGGCAGAATATTTGTTAACCAAGCGAAGAAAAATCCGCGCGAGGTCAACTTTCATCTGAGCCCGGCATGGCTGTTAACATTTAGAAAATGTAATCATTGCACTTTGCACTCAAAATGTATTTAATTTTGAGGCAGCCACAACAATGTGGGCTTAATACAACACATTTTAGCACGAAAAAATAACGAAAATCGAACAACGGGAAGGAGAAATCCGCACATGCGAACCGAACAGCCAAACAACAGAACGACGAATGCGCAGTAACAGAGACAATAATTCTGTAACAGTAACAGCTGTTGAGGAAGTTTTTGTCTATCCCCTGCAGCCCTGAGGAAGGCAAATGCATTTAGTAATTCTGTGAAATCGTTTATTGTAACGATACTGTCGTTTTGACTGCTTGCCACTTCAATACTATAATTACAATTTCTGAATAACAAAAAAAAAATTAAAACTTGCAATCCGAAATCCAAAAAATCCATTTAAAAACATTTTTTATAGATTTATAGACAGAAATATGAATATAAGTTAACTTAAGAGGTAAGTTCGCTTCAAAAGTATTAGATTGGTCCTTCCTACTCAAGAAGTAGATGATAAATAAGGACTCTAATATGCTCTTATCACCATATGAGCTGCAGGGATGCCTTAAACTTAACAGTCCTTATCAGACGTCACAACATAGGGCAGAGAACAGTCGCTTCAAGACCTTAATGATGCTTATCAAGGTAGACTGTTCAGTGGCTGTCAAACCTTAACATTGCCTGCCTGCTCACATCATGCACAGACTGCACGTGTACACACACCCACACCCAATTTTATCAGCTGACAATGTAATCAATTTTTGGATTTCGATTTTGCTAAATTCAACTAAAAATCAAATGAAATAAGAATAGTTAGGCAACTAGTATAACAAATTGTTTCTAATGTAACATAAACAAAAACAATACATTCGCCAGCTACTTTCATACAGCCAGCATAACGGATAAACAGATTAAGCTTTGACTTTTTACGAATGAATTTGGGAACGACAACAAATTTTTTAATTAATATAATGGAATAATAATACAGCAGTGTTTAACATATTGTAGCATTCACTATTATTATACGATTTGTAGAGCTGAACTTGGACATCAAATTTACAATAGAAGCGGGCTTATTACTTTCGGTTGTAGTTCTTGTGCACCTCAGGCGAGATATTGTAGACATACTGCAGGATCTCCTGAATGACGGGCTCCTTGCGCGTCTGTATGGCACGCTGCATATCGTCCAGTTTGACACGCGTATCGGCATCGATTTTTGCAGCAACACCTTCCCGGGAGCCCATATGCTGTTTAAGGGAAAGGAGTGTGGGGTGGGGAGAGGTTAGCTTATGTGGATACAACAATTGTCAATGAGCGATTGATCTACCAACCTTGGCTTCGAATTCTTTGAAGGCTCGCTCGCGCTCCTGACGGAATTTCTCAATCTCCTCAGTGGCCTCATCCTTGGCTTGCTTCAATCTCCTTGCCTTGCCTGCACCAAAGAATAAGTCACAACATTTCTTCTTATAAGATTCATATTTACAGTCACACTTTGGTTTTTGGTATCATGTGACCCGAAAGCGCATAACGTTGATTGCGAGAAAATACAACGTAAATTATGGGCGTACTTACGTTTTCTGGCTTCAGCTACCTTTTCGGCGGCCTTCTTCTCAGCAGCAAGCAATTGCTGGATACCTTGCGTTTGGCTGGCCATTTTCTATAAATTAACAGCAATTCTGCGATTAATGGTTGCGGAATTAATTGCTGCGCGTTCTACACAAGACAAGCGAAAAAAGACAAGTGACCACGAACTGTGAAAATTGTCATATGACGACGAATACACACACGCACACACACATATACACACGAGCACTTCGATGTGGCCACAATATTGCTTTTCGACTATGCGGCAACTCCAAAGCACTGCTTGCCGTACTCACCTTTTAACTTCATTTTGTTCTCTTTTTACTTGTGTGGCAGCGCCGCGTTTTTGAGCCGCAACTGACCGTGTTGGCATCCCCATTACAAAATCGTAGGAACCGACCAGATATAAAATTTTGAAGTAAAGAACTACGCAAATATACACACGGCATCAAAAGTAATATGGAAAAATTGAGCAAGAGCAAGCGAGAGGCTCGCGAGGAGAAGCAACGCGATCAGAAACTGGAGGAAGTCGTAAGTTTGTAGTCCTTATGCATGTCCACCATTTACACACACACTCTTGGCAACCACGTATGGTGTCCGTGACACGACAGGTGCTGAAAACCTTGGAAGACTGCAGCACACCGGAGGATAAACTGAAATTACTGCTGCAGCGGCACGTAGAGAGCGAGAAAAATGTGAACCGACTCACAAATGAGCTGCGCTCCCACTTACGGGAAAAGGAGCAAGTGCAGCGGGAGCTGAACAAGAGCGTCCTGATGAGGGACAAGCTGCAGGAAGTCTGCCGCGAGCAGCAACGCATCATCAAGTCGGTGAAGAACGAGAGCATGCTACAGATCAAGGTGGAGGAGGAGCGGCGCAAGGAGAGCCAGACCAAGTTCCAGAGCTCCCTCAACGAGATCACACAGTCGCTGACCAAAAACAATGAGGAGAACATGAAACTGCGTGATTACAACATCGAAATGACTAAAAAGTAAGTGGCGGGGGGCGCCAATTGGGGCGATCACCGGTGTGCGCTGTCTATTTATAGACACTGCATGCCATGTGTTATATCTGTCTATATACAATTATATGTGTGTGTTTGGCTTTTAGGTTAAAACTGCTGGCGGAACAGTATCAGACGCGTGAGAAACATTTGGAGAAGCTCAATGAGCAAGTCAAGCTCGAGACCCAACTCCATCAAGCCAAGCTCAACAAGGCAATGGTGGAGGCGGCCATGGAGAAGGAAATACTGACAAAGTAGGTGGTGCTTCATACCTAAACATAATGCTCGTTGGCGGGCATTTTATATTTAGAAGTTTATTGGGAAATTAGAAATTTTTAATGCGCATCTAGCGGGATAAATTATGGCTTTTTATTATTTCGAAATACTTATAGTTTGTAGATTAGTTTTTTATAGCCCTTTCAAATTCTGCAGCTATGTGTAACATATTTTTCAGTTACTAAGAACTTGTCAATTATAGGGAAAACCAAATTGGATTGGAAAAATTGCTGCAGGCACAGCGTGCCATAAAGGAACTGACAGATCGTGAGCATCAGCTGAAGGAGCAGTTGAATATCTACACCGCCAAATACGATGAGTTTCAGCAATCTCTGCAGAAATCCAACGATGTCTTCACAAGCTACAAACAGGAACTGGAGAAAATGTCCAAATACACGAAGAAGATTGAAACGGAGGCGCTGCAATGGCGTCAAAGGTATGAGAAATCGAATGCCATCGTCATTGAGTTGGCCACAGAGAAACAGGTGCGGGATCAGCATGCCGAGCGTTGCAACAAGCAGGTGGACCAATTGCAGAAACTGCTGCGAGCCTTGCAGCTGGAACGAACAGCTCTGCACAAGCAGTTGCGGGATAATAATCTGGAGATTCCAGCGATGCCAACACTGCCACCAGAGCCCGAGCCCATGAAAATTGTGCCCATCAACAGTGACAAGGACAAAATGGAGCTGATGACGCGCAATTGTGCAGAACTGAAACAAACGCTGGCTAATCTGCAGAATCAAATGAAGCTGCTGACAACCACTGAAAGCAAGGCGCCGGCGTCCAAATCGGGTGCCAGTGGCAGCAATGCCGCCGATTCGAAGGCCAACAAGGAGCAGCCCAAGCCCACAACGAATGCCCAGAAGAAGAACAACAACAAAAAGAAGGCCAAATCAAAGGCCAAGGCAGCAGCTGCCAATGCTTTGCTCACAGCTGAGCCACAACCAGTGGAGGATGGAAGTCCTCCAGTGGCGGATGATTTACACAATAATGAGGAGGAAGGGGAGGGGCAACTATCGCCAAATTTGCCAACTGAGCCTGTCGACGATGTTGCCTTGGATGTTGCCGCTGCTGGCGATGCCATTCAAGATAATGGCGAGAAGGAAACTGTGCCTGTTGTAGCCGTTGCAGATTCTAAGGACAACATGCCCGAATCTCTTGAAGCTGCCGGCGATGCCGATGTTGCAGCTATTGCCGAAAAAGTGCCCATTGATTTGTCGGAAGTGCCGGCACTTATCGATGCGGATTAGTATCCTAAACTAATACTTGCCATGCCTACGACTGTCCCGCCTCCAAGCATGAGGCTGAGAGAACTAAGCACTCAATTCTTCAATTCATACGTGCTTCGAACTCAACTTTACCTTTAGCGCAACAACAAATTTGAATAATAATAATGGAAACAGTATAACATGAACAACTACTATTTATTTATTGTATTTTATACGTACTTATTTATTCAGATTTTTGCAGTAATTGTAATCCAAATTAAGTAAAAGTTTATACATTTATTTGAAAAACAAACAACCGTTTTTTTTTTATTATTTGAGAATATGCCCTTTAGAGATAAAAACCACAATATATGGAATTTCATTGCAACAATAGTGGAATATTAGTTTTCAAATGAAAGGCTGTATAGTATTTAACATATACATTTTTGAAAGGATTGTTTCAGCTTTTTTTTATTTTAATGGAGATCTATTGTTTTAAAAATACAATACTTTAAACGAACCTAATTCAAATATGCTGTCTATGCCTAGTTGAAAGAAACGTGTTCTATTCAAGATTAGTTATTAATTAAAGCTGGGAGGAAGTCTAATATATTGTAATCTGGCCTTTTTAGATTTCTATTTATCCTTGCAGCAGGGAGCGAATGAACTACCGTGAAATTGTATTTCCTTTTTTTTAAGTGAATAGCTTTTGGATGCTGCCAAGTATATCAATAAAATAGCAAAAGTGTAACATATTTATATATGCGGATGAAAATAAACCTCTTATCGAATCCTCATAGGTCAAAACGTATAAGTGCTATGATTAGTTTGATTTAGTCGCCCCGGTATTCCATCAGCATTAAATCTGCATTTTGAGACTGAAACAAATGTACTTAATTGTAGAATATTCTACATAAAACCATAATTTTCGAGATTATTCAAATATTACTATAGATTGAGAAAAAAGTCTTTGATTGTTCGTTGAGTTGACATTTCTGCTGAATTTTATAATAAAAGGATTACCCGATTTCTAAGCTTTTATCTTTCCTTAACTTTTGAGTGCGATTCGCATTATATTGCGCTTCATAGCTTCAGTCACGCTGCCATCTCTAACAACAACTACAACAATGCTAGGAAATAAGAGATTTTCCCACTTGCCGCACGCTTGCGCGAATTTCAAAACTTAACGCATTAACTCATTAAATGTTCCTGAAGCTGCTTAGTGGCCGGCACACACACACACACTCAGATACCCGTACTTTAGTGTTTGTGGGCGGGTGTGGGTGTAAGCTGTGCATACATATGTGCAGTGTGGCTGGCATTTTTCACACGCCCTCAGCCCTGAGCCCTCCCCATGGCACAGTGTTGTGGTCAAGTGTGCGTTTTTTGCAATTTAAATTAATTTCTGTAATTATTTTAGTGCTGCTACAAATGCAAAATGGCTTCATTAAGCACATGTGAAGTGTGTGTGTGTGTGTGTGAGGGTCAATCCTTTGGGCCTTTGGAGCCAGCGCCTTGCTGCCGTTACGTATACGCCACGTAGCCAGCGTATAAATATTTAAACACTAAATAATAATAAATAACTAAGCAAAATAAGGGAAAAGGCATTAAATTGACAGCTGCGTGTTTAAAATTATTAAAGCGTAATAAGAACGTGTGTGTGTGTGTGTGTGAGTGTGTGGCCACTTGGCAAGCATCGCGCCGGCAAATTGCAACGCCATTAAGTATACGACACGTTTGCGTCGCAAACTTAATTGCAGGCAAGTTTTGCCTTTCTTTGCATTTATCAAGGCACACATTGCCAGCAGCTGACTTGAAAAACTTGCGCCACAACAGCAATAACAGCAACTACAACAATAACAACAACAATAAGAACAGCAATAAGAACTAGCAGGCATTTTGTAAAACAAATGGTGTGTGTAAACGATAATGGCGTTTAAATAAATTGCATGCCTGCTGTGACTTGTGGGGACATTTCTTTATTTACATACATAGTTAGTTGGGACTCGCGTGAAAAATTGGCATGTCAGTTCAGGTCGTGTATGGAGCGCCGATAATGTAATGAGTTTTATTCTCAAACAAACACAGATATTGCTGGCGATACCAAAACTGGATGGCTGTAGTTGGCAAAGTAAAACTTTTTAATCTGAAAGCAATGAAGCGCCCATATTGGTTTAAATAAATGTTTTTAGTGCCATTACATTATACAATATAAACTGAAGAATTTAAATGTCTTTTTTAAAAAACATAATAATCAGGAGGTGAGAAAGCTTCCATTATATCTTCAGAAATGCTTATGAAGTCTAAAAATAAACACAATTCAAAGCAGAGCTAAAATAAAATCACTCAAAAATAAAATATAGATAAGTCAAATGAAATGAAAGAAAATGTTACTCAATCATATAAATTTGATTAAACTTAGAATACAAGTTGTATATTTTTATTTATTCATTAATTTGTTTTCAATAAAAATAAGTAAACAAATTTAAGGGGAATCCTAATATTAAAATCATGATGGTCATTAAACTCTTGGAATGAAGCCTAACATATAATAAATGTAAAAAAATAAGTTTAGAAAACCATGCATATCTGGAGAATTAGTATTTGCCATCTGGTCAGAGAAGAGGTGAGGTCTCACAGACTATCAATAAATAAAAGAGTAATGTAACGAGGAAGTGAAATTAACTTATAAAAAAAATTAATTAATAGAAGAGGCAACTGAATAATAATTCTTTATTATAATACTTAATATAATAGACATATCTAACAAATAAATATAACTCAACAAGCTCAAACTAAAACTTGCTAAAAACAATTTGCATTATTTTTAAATTGTCTTATCCTTTGACGATCACGCCGCTGTTCCCTCCCTAGTTATTGTAACTGTTTGTAGTTGTTGTTGGCAGCGCAACAAGAAGGTTGATAAATGAAAATGCGAGCCACTACAACAACAACAGTAACAGTAACAACAGCACCAGGCACAGCAGCAGGCCCGGCAGCAACAAGAACAACAGTCATACACTAAGCACTTGTCATATGGCTGTAAAACGATGTCTGTCCGTCAGTTCTGTCGTTGGTGAAAAGTGTGGCAATGCCCAACACTCCAGCATGTTGAGAAAAGGGGCTGAGATGGGGTCGGGGGCTTGGGTTGCGGGTTGCTCGGTTGCTGCGCTTCTAAGCTCTTGGGTGTAATTTTTCAGGCACTGGCAAAAACGGCAGCGTAGACAGGCAAAGCGACAGGCTGCGAAGGATGCGACAACACGACGAGAACAGGAAGAGGAAAGAGAGGTCCTTCAGCTTCTGTTACAGCGCCTGCAGCAACATTAACAGCGCAGTCGACGTAAGCGCAGAACGCAGCGTCGCTGCCGCTAGCAACAGCAGCCAACATATGCCCGAGTTGAAGACGAGACCCAAACGGAGACCCAACAACGAGAACGGGACATGCCGCCAACGCCAACGCAATGCACAGACAAGCAGGAACCATCGAAGGTGCTGCCAGACTGCTTGACTCGAAGGAGCTCGCACACAGAGAGAGAGAGCGAGAGAGAAAGAGAGAGTGGCCGAGATAAAGAGGCACCTAGTGGGTGGTTTAGATTGTTATATTTTGGTGAGCGTTGCTAAGAGTGGGGAGCAGAATTTGGATTTCTAAAACTGGGTGAATGTCGAAACAGTGGGCGGTAAGCGAAATGAAGTTATTTATATCAAGTTTACAGTATCACAGTTTCAGTTAAAGGTGGTACTACTTACTTATGTGCATATGTATTCAAATAAATGCTATCTTATATAATTTATAAATATTAAACAACTTGTATAAGTTAGTTTAGTATTAAGTTAGGTTTAAGTCATTAAGCTTTATTGGTTTTTTTGTTCAATTATTCCCGCTTTACACTGTCGACTGTTGTTAACCATTTTTATTCCTCCATTTGGTTTAATTAAGTAGAAAAGACTAAGCTGCCTGTACTCTTAACATTAAGATATCCTTACCTTACTTGTTAATTCATAATATTTTTAAGAAATGTGAATAAATTTAAACTGAAATTGAAAAAATCCTACCTTCATCTTCATATTAAATTTGTTCTCTATTTTTGACATTTGATTTGTTCATCAATCCAATCATAACGTATCTTCTTGGTTTTAAAATACGATAATGTCCTCTAGTAACTTAACATTTTAAATGAATCAATACTTTGCTGCAGCTAATAAATAATGCATTAAAAACAAATAATGCCTGTATAGAATTTTATCTTACAAGTATAGTATGTATATGTTTAAATATGTTAAAGTCATTAAATGATGGTAATTATGTACACCTAATTCTGTTTTCACACGGTCTTTTTTTACACGATTTAGATTTAACACGGTTTGAAAATTAAAAATTGTATACTTTGTTCCATTTCGCACGATTAAAAATAATATGTGGACAATGTTTTCTTTACGCATTTTTTTTTACACGACTTTTTTCGGAATCATGTGAAAACAAAATAAGGTGTACTTTAAAGTTGTAATTATTTGTAGTTAGAAAATTCAACTATTACAATTAGTTTTCATGTCATTAAACATTTCTATTTATTTTAATTATACATATTTTCAAAATAATTTCAAATTTAATTTAAGCTTTTCAATGTTTTACTTTATCTCTGCAAGTCCGTTAACATTTGTTTTAGGAAAAAACTGAAGAAAACAAAATTCAAAGAATTTCGATATAAATTGTAACGTTATTGTTTTAATAAAGTTATTACGTAGTACGTAGTGTAACGTAATAGTTTTTATTATTGAAATAGTGTAACGTAACTGTTTCAATAATTTAAATAGTGTACTACTATCTCTTTTAAAGACTGTTATCTAGTTGTTGTTTTTTTTTTCAGAAAACCGCACAACTGTCTACTGTACGGGACGTTGGCAGCACTTTTAGCAACAACAGCAACAAATCCACCAAACCAACGAACCCGAGAGAATGCGCACCCACACGCATACACAAGGTTCCCTCGTACTCACACACAACAATAACAAACACGCGCCAGTCGTTCTGTAAAAGCACCAGCCAGATTTAGTTTCTGCACGTCTCTGTGTGTGTTTGGTGAGAGCTTAATGAGAAGCTAGCGCTGCGGCCTCTGCTTCTGTCTCTGTTTCTGTGGCGGCTGTTCAAAGCTGTGCTTAGCCAAATTTTTAGAAACTGTTCGTTGGCTGCCTCTTCTGCGAGAGCTTCGCACGAAGTGTAACCGATGACGACGAAGCAACGCTGACGCTGACGCCGATGCCGACGTCGACATCGGCGTCGACTTCAATGGCGATGCCGATGCTAACATAGCGCCTGTCGTGGGCAACTGTAATCAGTTGTGTATAGGACACGCGCGCGTCCTGGTCGTAAACGAGAAGGCGGAACGGTAAATTGTTTTTCGTTGCTGGTCCTTTTTGCTCCTTGCGCGGTTTGTTCTTCTTCACTGCTGCCGCTGTGACTGCCGTTGTTGTTGCTGCTGCCTCTGCTTCTGCCTTTGGGCCATGTTTATTTATGGTACGAACAAGCGCTGCTGCCCCAACATTGTTCTTGTTGCTGTTGTTGGTTTTGTTGCTGCCTCATTTGCAAATTGTTTAAACGGTTGCGTTGATTTTTTTTCGCCAGTATACAAAAAAAAAGAAGCCAGTTACAGTTGCTGTTGACGTCGCTGCAACAGCACTGTCGACGTCTACAACGCCGCCGCCGCCGCCGCTGCTACTGCTGTTGTCAGAGATAAAGGATATACCCGGATCTAAAAGTTACAGTTTTTTTTGCTGGTTTTTTGCACAAACAGGCTGGCAAACATTTTTTTGTTTGCCAAATTTTCGTTGCTTTGCATTTGTGCAATTTTTTAAATTCAGTTTGTTGTAAAAGCAAGAAAAGCAACAACTATAACAAAAGCAACAGCAACAGCAGCCCGTAAGCACACTAAAGAAAATTTCCCCGTTCTTGTATGTGCGTGTGCGTGTGTTTCTGTGTATCCGTGTGTGTGTGTGTGTGTGTGTGTGTGTGTGTGTGTGTGTGTGTGTGTGCTTTGTGTGTTTGTATAAGCAGGCAGACAAAGCACTTGAAATTGAAGTTGTGGGAGCTTGCCAAAAATTTGTACAGGCTCGAGTGACGAGTACACCACCACCACCAACAACAACAACAACAACAACGACAGCAACAACAAAAATGACAACAACAAGCAAACAACATAAAGAGCAGAAATAACAACAGCAAGGAAGCAAAAACAAAAAAGTGTAACAACAATGCAAATAAATTAATAAGCAAAATCATTAACAAATTAAAACGAAACACGCAAAGCGCGCGCACACACACACACACAAACACATAGAGAAGAAGAAGAGAGGAAGAAGTGGAAGAAAAATAATAACAAGTCAGAGGCCAGAAATCTGGGAAGGCAAAGTCAAGAGCTGCTGCTTAAGAGTCAAGCATGTTTTAGAGGTTAACTCGTCGTCGTAGTCGTCTTCTTGTCGTCGTCGTCGGCATCCAAGGTAAATATATGTACACACACACTCACACACACACACACATACATGCATATAACCATATATATGTGTATGTAAAGTTATATTTATGTATAGCTACTTAAGTATATATGTACTTGGCAAACAAGCCAACCTACAAAGTAAACAAAAACTTAACGTACTACATATGCAAATTTTGCGTTGTTGTTATTTTGTGAGCAGAAATAACAAACACTCACACACACAAACTATAAACAACAACTCATTTAACTGACGCCAGTCGCCATAAAAAAGTGAAAGCAACCAGAGAACAACAAACCTGGTAAAGGAATGAGCCGCGAAGCAAAACGCACGCGTCTGAAACTATTTATATAAAAATTTAATCGCATGCGATTTATTTGACTAGGCGCCAAACTAACAGAAACAGTCACACATACTTCCACGAAAAACACATGTGCATGAACACACCTTTCACACAAATCACCTGCCACTCTAAAGTCCCACGTTCACACTCACACCACAAAGTATACGTATACGGCAAAGTTGAAGAACCTTCGATCATTGCACTGCAATAATGAGGTTAGAAGAAATGGACCTAGAAACCAAAGATCTTAATTAAAAAATAATGTTTTGTTAAGTCTCTTAATAATGTATTAATGGCCATGAAAAAGCTATGTATAATAAAGTGTAAATAATTTTTTTGAAATTGATGTTTGTATATTCTTATTTGGTTTACTCTGTAGGCCTATACTCATGCGATGACAGTTATTTTAAATATAACATATTGAATAATACAGTTTTATTTAAGATATAAGGTAAAAATAAATGCACGAACTATTTTTTTAATATTCATTTTGTATAATAAATGTCAAGAAACACACAATGTTGTGTATTTAGTTTTCTTTATAAGCATTCTCTCATTCTAATAGTTATTAAATAAAATAATGGCTTTGATTTTATTAATTAATTAAAATACAAATAAATCATATGTTCTTCGAAACTAGAAAGCCTTTATGAATCCTTATTTGAAAACATATAATACGAAGGATTTAAGACCTAATATTAATGGCTTTTATACGCGTTTTCATTCAAAATATAACAACAATTATTTATTATTTATAGTGTATGTGTTATTTTGTCTTTTTTTATTAGCTTTAACAGCCCCTCCTCTATATAATTTACATTCTACTTTATTTTACTGTCACAATAAATCTATTGTTTCCACTTTTTGCAAGGCTAGCCAAAAATCTTAAAATTATTAATTTATTCTTTTAGTTATTACACAATTATATTTGTAGCTTTTAAACTTGATTCTTTATAAAGTTTTGGTTTGACGATGAGTAGATTAATAAACAATTTAATGCATATATTTTATTTGAAAGGCGCATACTTTTATCGTCACGTGTTTCTGTCACCCACATGTGCTCGCATTCCTATGAATAAGGCACCGCATTTATTTTTTCTTCAGCTGCATTTAAATGTTTAGGGTATGGGGAGAAAACGTTTCTGTCGCTGCGACATATTTATACAACGCTCAGCGCTATTTGCCCAACTATTTTAAGTGCTGCCACTAGCAACAACAACAACAACAACACCTACAACAGCTACAGCAACAACATTGGCAATGACAAAAGGCCAAGCAATAAAACCAAGACGGGGGAAGCTGCACAAGCGAATGAAAGAATGAAAAAACACTTAGCACGAAACTAAGCGACATTTGTTGTTGCTCTGTATGGCATTTATAAATAGCATCAAGGTGCGTTCTATTCTAGCCCTCACACACCCACATAGTTGTAGGAAGGAAAGTGGCTGCCTCTGATTTGAGTGGGCGCCTGTTGGTATGCAACACAAAACACAAAAGTGCAAAATACAATAAATGGAAATGTTAAAAATAAAATGATAAATAAATTGAATGAATAACTGCTTGTGTGTGCCTCCCGGCCAGCCTGACTGCCTGCTTGCCCGATGGTTTGCTGCCGTCTCATTGGGCAGGACGAGCATGAAAATTAAAACAAAATTAATCAGCATTTAATGGCAATTTTTGTGATAACAATAATAATTAAATTATCGTTTGTAATCAATTAGGCGTGTCTTACAATTTCATTTGATAACCAGTGGACGGCAGTTGAGCAAACACATAATATATTTAGATTGCTTTCTTATTATTATTAATGGAATAGCAAAAGACGAGGGAGCACACAATTACTTCTATTTCTATTTGTATTGTATTAATGCTGTTGAAGTCAGACAGACAGACAGGCAGACAGACAGACAGACAGAAGGACAGACCAGACAGCTGGGCTCTGGCACTGATTGTAAACTTCCAGGCACTTGGAAATTGTGGTGATGAGTTGTCAAATGATTTAACCATTAATTGTTATCTAATGAACTAAAACATTATTCAAACTGAACAAATAGTAATCCAAATACGAGAACAGATACTCTCTTATGCATGAATATCAAGTAGATCAATGCATAAGAGGAGAGAAAAATGGTTTTGATTTAAAATATAGACTACATTTCCAGTCTATCTCCTTCACTATCTCGGAGGCTCACAACTAATGATAATTTGAATAAAAGATGATGCATGGTTCAGTGTAGAGATTGAAAATAATTACATTTGTTATTGTTTCAATTTTTACTATTCATGGATGTTTAGGTCTTGGCATGTTTAATGTGCCCTCTCTCAAAGATGTGATCTTTATCTCTGCTTTATTCATAATCAATTCCTCGAGTCCTCGAACTATATTAGTTCAAAGTATAGATTTCTAAATTAGTACCCCTTTGCAACAATAAAAAGCCCAGTTTCATCAGTGGCAGCTTTTCCAGGCAGCCTAGGTTTTGATGGAATAGCTTGCTCAGATACTGGCTTTCTTTTCTAAGAAATGCAGGGCAGTCGCATAGAAAGTGTTGGATGCTTTATAAATCTTTCTCATCTCACTACATCCCGCTGGCCATTCGACCGAAAGTGCTGTACTTATTTAGAACTCCTGATATTACCCGAATATCGATCTTTCCAAACCGTATGAGTTTGGTAGTTCTCGTGGGATTGCATCGAAGCCTTAAGTTCTGGAGATTTGACAGCCTGGTGAACTAACTAACTATAGCCTTAGCGGCCTTCGACATTGCTGCAATAATAATACTTTACAAATATAAAACAGAAATAATAAAGGCTTCGTTTTAATTCAAAAAGTTTGACGGAAATTTTCATATTTATTAAAGCCTGAGCAAATATTATTGAATTATATGTGTATTATAAAATAGTTTAATAGTTGTTTAAAATGCATTAAACATTTTTTTAAATATTCAATTCCAGTATTGAATTCACTTCGTTTGAATGTAAATTTGTTTGCCGTAATTTGTATTTCAGTGTTTAATCACAGATAACTCAGGAGAACAACATATTGTTAAAACTTTTGTCATATCTTTCTCATATGTATGCTCAATTCTTATCCCTCGTATTGCTGTCCTTCGCAATTTTACACTTTTTTGCATTTCCTTTTGTTTATGGGCAGTCAAAGGACCTAATAAATGAACATTGCCTAGCAATAGATTGACATCAAACATTCATCAAGGCACAAGCTCTAACAGCAGTTACTCACACTTCTAAAGCCATAATGTGGCTACACGCGCACACACACACATACACACAGAGTATATGCACGCATATAATCCAAATTCTTGGAATATATCGTCCATTATTGGTCAACTTATCAAAGCGAAGCAGCAAAAACAAAATGAAGCAAATGGCATTCAAAGAACATGAAGCTGTTCAATGCCCACGCATGTGTGTCGAGTCATAAAACATATGCAACAGCTAGAAAATGAACGTTTAACTTTTAACAACAACAGCAGGAACAACAACAAGAGAAACAAGAACAAAGTTGTTTTCTGCCCACATAAAATGCGTATGGAACGGCACATGTCTATAAAACTTATATATATTTTCAGCGCCTGCTGCTGGTTTCGATTATTTGGTTTCTGCTTTTTTTCTGTTCCTTCTCTTGGTTTTATCGCCAGCTGATAAAGGAAAGTTGTCGAAGTTAGCGCCTGCAGCCGAAACACGCATACGCCATGTGTGCGCCAAAGTTAAATGTCTTTTGACTTTTTTCGTTTTTTTTTTTAATAGCTGTCGGTTGCTCTTGTTAGCTGGTAAATTGTTGTTGCTGCTGCTGCATTTAACAATTTCGAGAGGGAAGAAAATTGCGCGCAAAAGATTTTGTAAAATGGCTTTTTTCATTTTAATTGCTGCCCATTTTGCTGTCACAGAGAAATCCACAGAAACAAGTGAACATATGTTCGCAGTGTGCAATTAACAAGCTCGAGTAAAAATCTTGATGACAACTAGCGATGGCAGCGTGACTCAACCCCTATTTGCAACTCACATTAGTTAGTGTTGGTCATTTTTTAAAAATTTTAAAATTCCTATGAGAACTTAGAAAGAAAGTGAAAATAATTCACGAGCTCATAGCCATTCCAGCTCATCACTAGCAGATGTAATGGTATACGTATAAATATCTTTTGAAGATCACAATATAAAGAAATATCTATCGGTGTTTATAAATTAAAACCCTCCTTCGTTTGGACCCTAGTATAGGAAATAATCTCAATTTCTGATTCCAAGCTTAAGCTAAGCCACAGTCCAAATAATTATGCCTTCATTCAAGCTTTATTTTTATATTTATACTCTGTACTCCAAAGATAGAAGTGTGTAATAGGTTTGCCGTTCGTATAATTATCTCTATCTCGGAGACTATAAGAGCTAGAGAAAATTTCGCCCTTCCCTTCTTTCCTTTTCCACACTCCACTAGTTTAAATTTTTTCCATAATATCCGTAATTCTTGATTTTAACAATCAATCAATTATTCAACAAAATTATTCTGTAGCTTATTTGTTTAAATATTTCAAGCTGCACAATTTCTATGAGTTCAATAATTTATTTATTTATTTCAATACAAATTAAACTACCCTATTATTTATTTAGTTTTCAAAAAAAAAGGTATTTTTCATATTATTTCTAACTTCTT